GGGGGTCAACATGTCACACTATGATTTATTTCTGTTCTTACAGGAAATTTATAGCTGAATTTGAAAATAATTATTATGCACTAATTTTTTTTTGCACGGTCGACACTTTCGTAACTTCGGTTAAAATGTATTATTTTTTTTGTTCAGGACCATAATAGTAAGCAAGACGGCAGTGTAGACCACAACTGTACATGTGATTAAATGCAAGTCACTATCCTAACATGGCTATCAATAGCCCCTCAGAGTAGAGACATGGAATAACTTGGTGTGGCGAGATAATTTCTTTCATTGATTTAATTATTCTATAGCAAACAAACTCCCAGCTGCCTGTATGAATGTGATTTATTTTTGTGGTGTTTGAAGACATTTTGAACTGAGTTGGATACGAGCGTACAATGATACTGTCACATGTCCTGGTAACGCGACAAGTAATTAATAGGTTCCGTTAAGCCTCGTCCACATTACTCGTGTTCGCCAGGCTTGTGCTCGTCGGGAGACTCGTCTGGCTTTTACCTGTGCTCGTAAATCTTCGTCCATACTACTTCAGTTGCTCGCCAAGCTTCGGCGCGTGAGGGTCCGTATATTTACTCGTAGCGTGTATAGGCTGTAGTCGCCTTTTAATTTATTGTCTATAGTTTTTAAATTAAAAAAATTAAAATTTGCTTGTCTCATGACTTGTCATATCGTCCACATTAATCGCGAGAATAGCGAGTAACACGAGCACGAGCACGAGTGATATGGACGCAACTTTAGATGAAGCGACTTGTTGGATATTCACCAGGCGGAACTACAATTAGTTGTAAGACAATCTTACTGTAACTATAACACTTCGTAACTACGAAAAATGACAACACTCTAAAGATTACTGTAACTACACCATTTAAAATAAAGACTTCACTTCTGATCTCTGTTTGTCTTCTGTTGGTCAGTTCTCTCTCTGAGGTATTTTTTTTATTGCTAGTGGGGTGGGACTAAGTCCCTTTTACTGCGGCCACTTCTGGCATATTGTACCAGCCCCAGATGACAGGTGATGGTGCATGTGGAGCAATTGGTGGGATGAAGATTGGCAGGGGAAACCGAAGTACTTGGAGAAAACCTGCCCCAGCCCCACTTTGTCCACCACAATTCCCACTTGACCAGAACCGGGATAGAACCCGAGCCGCCGCGATGGGAAGCCAACGACCAACAGCTTGAGCTATGGCATGGCCTCTCTCTGAGGTAAGTTCTGGTCGAACCGCATGGAGATCACCTCCTTCAACAGTAGAGTTATCGCGTTATTTCGCTATTACTCTGCTTTGTAGGTTCGTTACCATGTGAACGGAAACATTTCTGTATGCCCTGTCTAGGAATCGACGTGACTCTGTATGCAATGCATTGCTTCTTCAGTCGTATTCGTTGCTGTGGAAACGGGTATCAAAAATCCGCTGTCCAACAGCGGCGCCTTCCATCTTGCCACGGGAACGTGCTCAGCGAAGCCCCACCCAGAAGATGGGCAGATTTCAGCTTTCAGGCGTCATGTCAGAATATAAAGATAGTGAATGATGAATTGGGAAGGATGTGAACGTATTCGGTAATAATATATTTACGACTCTGTCCCATCATTTCCCTGAAGTTAGTGTGGATGAATCTCGAAAAGCCTCAGGACACCTTGTACTCGTATATGAGCATGTGATTCCAACTCGGGACATCAGTCCGGAGTGCTTATTAATATTCTTGTCCCCGGCGGGTATAGCGACAGCTGCTGAAGTGTCGAATATGTAGACATGCCATGCAGCCATCTACATTTCAGTTACTTGAGATTTGAGGGGAAACTTCCTGTTAGTTTGTATCATGGGCCGGTCACGGTAGCCCAGCGGCTTAAGGCATGCACTGTTTTCGCTCGCTCGGAAGCCGAGATCATGGGTTCGAATCCCACTCAGGGCATGGATGTTTGATGTTTTTGTATGTGTGTGCGTTTTTCTGTGTTTGTGTACATGTAGAGACTTTGCGACAAGCTGATCACCCGTCTTAGGTGTCCTACTTACTGTGTAAAAACTAGTAAACCGAAGTGAAACAGAAAGTTTCATGGACGTAGGCCAAGGCCAGATCGAGGCTGTAGCGCTAAAGGAAAAAAAAATACATGGTTTAAAGAGAACATAATTTTCGAGCACCCAGTCGTATGTCTGTTTATGACGAAGATGACTTGCTGGACGCCCAAGCTACTGCCACGGAGAAGCAGATACCATCAATTCAACGTGAAGAATAGTACGTCTTGAATACAATGGGTGAAGATGAGAAATCTGTCTGAATAAAGAAGTCGGCCACAAATGGACAAAAACATTCAACCCACACCCATACTGACAGCAAGCCATGTCTCACTTCTACGTGAGAAATGCGTGCACAGTGCTACCAACCTACGTTAACATCGTGACAATTTTATAGTTTCGCGCATAACTCTACATTCTTCTGTAGATTAATGCTCTTGTTTAGTGAGAGACAAATTGTTGTTCCGAACACAGCTGTCTCCTTGAAAGCGTCACACAGCAGGTCGTGGATCAAGGGTAGTGTACCCGTTTGTCTTTCGCTAGTGACGGCACTAGTTATCTAAAGCGAAGCATTTCAGTCTGCGACGGTATTCATAACCAATAGGTAGGATACTCTGCCCGGAAGAGCAGGAGGGGAAAATGGGGGAAGTTTTCATCCACGAAGAAATACAGAGATAGTTTACCTTAACTCATTTACACGTAAAACTATACTGAAAATAAAATTGCCATTGAAAGTATCCAGTTCTGTACGGAAGAATAATTTGATCTCATTTTGATTTAACTCAATGGGTCCATATCAGATATTCTGCCGTCCTCACTGCTTGCATAAACGCCTGTGTCTCCGAAATGAGTTTTCTCCAACCTCCTGTCACTTCATTTCTCTTCGGTCCCAATATTCTCCTCAACACCATGTTCTCAACACCCTCAGTTTATCTTCCTCCCTCCAAATCAGCAACTGAACAAAATCCTAGGGCAGTTCCATAAGCTCTCTCCTCATACCTTATTTTCCTGAGACCTATCAATGCTATCCTCTGACTTCCTTTCCCAGTCTCCCAAGTGGAAAATTTGCCTGGGGTTTCTGCACCAATATCCTGCGTGCATTGGTTTCCTTTCAAACCCATTATACTGTCTTCTGTTCTACTGTCAGCACTAGACGACGAAGTTCCTTGCAAGATGAAAGTAATCAGTAATAAAGCCAAGAAGCCCCAACAGCTGACTCCTAAGCTAAAGAGAGCAAATTGTGCTATAAATCTGAGAGTAGTCAGATAATTTTTCTATGAAGACTACGTAGAATTTTTTCGTTTAAGTAAAAAATAAAGCTATCCCTGTAACAGGCCGTGAAGGCCCATAGGATTGTGAGAGTTTACTGAAGTTAACTTGGCAAATACTTTCCTCTTTGCCTCCGTACTCAGACCCACACAACCTCTTACTCAAAGAGTACCGGGAGCTATTACTCCAAGTCAGAGAGGCCAGGACGATTGTGACTGTCCATTTGATGCCGATGTAATTTTACGTGGAGCTGTATCTCCACTCCCCATACGGTTTCACAGTTTGCTGTTTAATTCAAAGCGAAGGAATGATTTAACATTAATTGGTCATAAATTAAAATACAGAATTTCTCTCTGTCGTGTGATTAGACTAATATTTCATTCTCTCTGTTGCTTAGGTATCTGAAACATGATATCTGGTGTGGGACATGACAAATATTTACGCAGGTTTAAAACAATCCCTGCACGTTCACTGTTCTCAGAACTACTTAATACTATTTTTGTGCATAGGATATATGCTGCAGAGCCTTGTCCTTTCTTCCTCCATTTACTGAATTACAACGTTAAACTTCGACATCATGTGACAGTGAAGCAAAGTGAAATGAGCAGTTACTTAAGTATCTCTTTTTCTCTCTCTCTCTCAGTATTCTTATAAAGTCTAATGATATGCTTGCAAAACTGCAATTAAAGCTGTCAAATTTACCTTACCTTCCTCGTTAGATGATACTTCATCCCGAATATCACGCTTCTTGCAGAGCCTTGAGAGACCCATAACGGGGTTCACCAGAGCAGCGGCAGTGCCCAAGATATCATCAATGTTAGTGTGGTTGCCAATGAACAGAGGCAAATGCTTGGGTCTCGATTTAGTGGCCTGGATCTTGGGAGCCTTCCGCTCTGGTTCTTCAATATTATCATAAGGTGAACTCCTACCAGTCTTCTTCTCCCCCCTGGATTCTGAGATATTACCCCCAGAAGCTGTAGAAGGCAGTACCAATGGGAACTTTGGCACTCCGTTTCCATGTGCCTTTTCTTTGTCTTTGTTATTATCTTCACTGAAGTCTTCCTCAGAATTTCCGCTGGGTGAACTTTCTACATTATCCTGGTTTCCTTCACTTGATTTGAGGCACTCACTGAGAGAACAGTTGCTGTCAAACCTTTTAATCCCTTCTGGGACATCTCCTCTGCTACTTAACCACCAGGCCTTTTCCCCAGATTCTTGATGTCTTAGCTTGTAAGGGAAGGTCCTGTTGTCGGACTCTTCCTGTCTGTGTTCTGGCTCGTTCATTGCACTCTCAGCCTGATTGTTCTTGTTCCTTTGCGTTACGTCAGAGTGCGGCGTATCATTACTTAACCACCAGGGCAATTCCCCTGATTCCTGATGTCTAATTTTGTGGACATTCTTTTCCGCTTTCTTTCCTTCTGCCGACTTCTTGCTATCGGAGTCCGAACTTTGTAATTTGTTGACTGAGGAATTGCTTCGTATTCGCTGCACTCCCTGTGTTGTTTTGTTGTCTCCATCAGAGTCTTGAAGCTTATTTATTGATATATTGCTCTTCATTCTCTGAACCACTCCTGAAGTCTTCTCTCCATCAGAGTCCTGGAGCTTATTAATTGAAGAATTGCTGTGAATGCGTTGAACTCCCTCTGGAACAGGGGCACTGCTATCCAGCCACCATGGAAGCTCTCCTGATTGTTGATGCCGGAGTCTGTGAAATTTCGTCTTTGTATTTTCATCTCCCATCCCAGAGTTTCCAGAGTCATAATCTGAATAGGTGCTTTTATTTAGAGATAAGTTACTTGGTGTTCTCCAGACCCCGTTAGACTTGTCAGTGTGGTTATTAGAGTTCTTGAATTCTGTATCAGAATCGCGAACTTTGTTTATAGAAGTGTTGTCTTGAATTCTCTCAACGCCCTCAGGAACAGGTGCACTGCTGTCAAGCCACCATGGCAACTCTCCTGACTGTTGGTGTCTGAGCCTGTGTAATTTTTCTTTTTTATTTTCTACTCCCACAGGAACTGTAGAAGCATCACTTTTTGAAAATTTTTTCTGATGCAAGAAAGTACCACCAAATGTTTTCTGAACTACTTCAGACTTGTCAGTGTTGACTTCTGCTTTCTCGTCTCCCTGAAGATTATCTACAGAAGAGTTACTCTGTACCCTCTTTACCCCTTCCGGAACATCACTACTGTTGTACCGCCAAGATAACTCCCCTGACTGTTGGTGTGAAATCTTGTATGATTTTCGCTTTGTTTTTGTTTCATTATCTCCTTTACTTTCTATGCGTTCCTTCAGTTTGTCCAACGAATCGTTACTTGAGACCTTCTGCATATTATCTTTCTTATTGCAGTCCGTTTCCGCGTCCTTTAGTTTATTAACTGAAGTACTGATTTCCATTCTTTTGACACCTTCAGGAATATCTGGGTTACTGTCCAGCCACCAAGCTCTATCTCCTGATTCCTGCTTTCTTATCTTGTATTTATGGCTAAATTTGACGCTTTCATCTCCAGAACCAGTTTCGGTTTTATGACTAAAGTCAGAGATACTATCCTGGGAGTTACATTTATTCACTATGCTCTGTTTCGTCTCACCCACATCTTCCTTGTTAGACATGTCCAGCGACTGGGTGCTGCTGGCCCTTTTTAGTCCTTCCAAATTATTATTCTCTTGCTTTCCTCTAAACAGATTTTTGACTGGGGCTAGAGCCCTCATAAGGAATGACTTAGACTCATCTGCTTTAGGTGGCTTTGGACTGACTGGTGGCCTGGGTGGCTTATCTGCAGACATACACAAGTCATCACTAGATGAAACTTTTGTAGTTGGAATGACAGAATTTTGCTGCGAATCTGCTATTGCAGGCGATCTAGAAGTCCGTTGTTGGATGTCTGCAGAATTAAGACATTTCACGGCTAGTCCATCATCCTCCTCATCGCTACTACTGCTTTGAGATGAAGAGGATGATTCATTGGAGCTGATATCTGTGTCAGAGGCGGATGACCCATGTCGCTGTACACCAGTGGGAGACAGCGGTGTCTCACAGCAAGCTTTCGCCACTTCAGATGTTGATTTGGTTGTGCCTGGACTCTTCTGGTTAGGAAATAACGCATACTTATGAGGAGTCCCTGAAGGGAGTTTAGATGTAGAGCTACTGGAATACAGCTTGGAGAGCGATTTAGAAGTCCGTAAAGAAGTTAATGTACTGTCAACTTCAACTGGCAGTGAATGAGTGGAGCTCCCTTCACCGCAAGATGGGTCAGAATCACCAGAGCTCATAGAATTACTTCGGTTGAATTTTCTTTCGAAAGTACTAGCATGCCTTTGTTTTTCTTGCTGTTTTTTGAATGCTTCTGTCTGTAGAGCACTGGAAAGTTCCACATTAAGCGCGGATTTGCGGAAGTCTTTGTTGGCGGCACCGAATTTGTTTAGGGAATGTAAGGAGGAGGAAGTCTTGAGAATCTGGTTATTGCTGTCAGTCTTGGGAAATGGAGGTGGGAGTTTACATGTGGATGTATTAGGTAAGGGCTTAGAACATGAGGTAGATAAGGGACTAGTTTTGTTTAATGGTCCCTCATTCGACGATGATTTCAGTAAGCTGACTTCATTAGACCGTGTATTTGTTTGAGATCCATCACCAGATGGCGTTCTTGAAAGAATTCGTTCATTCAACGATGTTTTATCAGTTACTCCCTCAGAAGAGAGAGAAACAGATGATGCAGACTTAGACTTCGTACGAAATGTTATTTCGTCGCCATTTGGTACAGGACGCTTTGCAGTCACATTCTTCAATGACTTCGTTCTAATTAAACCCAAACTATCGCTTCCTTGATCTGATGCAGTTTTAGAAATTGATCCTTCAACTGATGCTGTTTTTGCCGACAATTCATCTGACGAAATGGAGGTAACTGACGAAGACCTGGACTTCATTCCGACTGGGGTTTCAGTTCCTGTTTGAGCGGAAGGTTTGCCACTTATATTCCTGAAAGACTTTACTCTGGTTAAGACTGCACTTCCGGTAACTGCATCTGACGTTTTATTTCCTTCCATTGAAGACGTCTTATCCGATAAGTCTTCCGATGATGATACATTTCTAGATTTGATTCTGTTTGGAACTTCGCCATCTTGAGGCATGCTCGTTGGTGTAGAGAATTTCACATCAGTACTCTTAATAGATTTAGCTAGAATCAAACCATTTCCCTCAATTTTTGAATCAACTGGAGGCTTAGACTCAATTCCTTCACTTGGTGTCGTGCAAGATGTCCCTACCGCCGAAATTGATGTTGGAGATGTAGGTATGACATCAGTATTCTCTGCCGACTGTTTAACATTTGTTTTCTTCGCTGTTTTGACTTGAGTTAAACTGTCGACTCCTGATTCTTTTGCCGTCTTGTAATTTTTTGTAAGGCCTTCTGCTGGCTTCTCCTTATCTTCTTTGCCAACAGTTTTTGATTTTACATAAGCTGTATCTTCGTGTTTATCGCTACCTACAATCGATATATCTCGAGGTGTTTCTTTACTTTCCACAACTTCCGTTACATTTAGCTCTTTCGCCATTGATTTATCAACATCAGTTTTTACACTGTCTGTTCGTTTTACAGTGCTGATATCATTGTCTGTTCTCCTTTCACAGGAATCTGAGAGACTAGTTTTAAGTTTCTGACTAGACAATACGCTGTCTTTGTCTTTGTCTTCGTCTATATCCTTGTTTGTAAATGCTGTAGAGGATTTGGGTTTAGGAGCTTCTTTCGTTGAGCTACTTTCAGAGGATTCTTGGCCAACAGAAGGTTTAATGGCCATTTCTTTGTCATCGCTTCTTGATGAGTAGCCATAACGTGAAGTGTATCTGGCGACGGGAGAGTAGCTGCTGGCTGCGCTGGGGTACCTGTCAAGGTACGTCGACCATCTTGAAGAGACCCCGTAACGGGATAACCTTGTTGTGTTTTCCCCGCGTTCAGCCTGAACTTCTTTGTCTATCATTTGAGGTCTCGTTTTTGGCTTCTCTATCGTCTTCTCTACAACACGAGCCATATCCGCTCGTCTGGTTCTTATATATGATATAGCAGACGGAGCTGTAGGGGACGTTCCCCTTGTTACAACTGTAATGAACGTGGTCTGGGTCACTTCTTCTTCTTCTGTTTTCTCTTTTTTGTTGTTCAACTCATTTGTTTTCCCATTATCAGCAGCTCCTTCAGTGGTTGGTGTAGTCACAGAATTGCCTGGTGTCACACCTTTCGTCTTGGCTTCTTCCGAATCTTGCTGCGAGTTGGATCTACTAATGGACCTACCACTGTAACCCCCACTGGAGTGTCCAAAAATGGTGGGCGGTTTTTCACTGGCAGGGCTTCGGATGGCGTTCGAGCCGTACTTGGAGGAACTACCAAACCGCAGTGACGAAGGCGTATGGATTGGTGATGTGACAGGTGTGGATGTTGTCGAAGAGGCAGCATCAGGGGCATAGTCTCTGCTGATGGATCTACTATACGAACTCCGACTATAAAGACGATACGGTGATATGGAACTACCACAACCCACACGATCCGCTTTCACTCCCACGTCTGCTGAGATGGCCTTCGTTTCGGGGCTAGCATCTGTCTTTGATTTGGTACTGATGCTCCTCCCTAGGGCACGGTGGCTACTCCCCATGTCCGCGTCATCTTTATCCCTTGAGTTATAGCTTGAATCCCTCGCCCTGCCCGGATACGTGCCTGAGGAATATCTGTCGCGGAGTGACAGTCGTTCGCTCTCCTTGTTGTCTTTCCTTTCCGTCGCGACGCCACTACTTGACGTCGTAGCAGGCCTCGTCTTGCTGTCTTTAGGAGAGCTCACGTAACTGCTTGTTGAGCTCCGAGTGTAGTTCGAACCGAGGTACGGCGACCTGTAGCTGGAACCAGATAAGTAGCTACTTCTGCCCGTGTTGGCACTGTCGCCTCCAGCGATAGCCCGTCGGCCATAAACACCACCTCCACTACCGCCACCATCATACTGTAAGCAAACACAGACAGTGGCTTTACGCGAATAACTACTTAATCTTCATCAAGTCAAACAATTATATACCATGTCTATAATAATAAATTTTTAGGTAAATTTGGATTGATGTCATATTTATACAATTTTACTGGAAGTATAGGATTCAGCTTTTGTAGGGCCATGTCTATTCATTCTTAAATTTTATGAATCGTTATGAGTTTTGAAAAGAGTGTTTTCAAAACGAAGCAAGTTGTTATAAGTCCCAAACATTTACAAATTAAAATTCATAGAATATTTATATGCAGCACATTTTGAGAAGTAAACGGCCATGGACGATTTCGAGGTACTGTTCTTGCATTCAAACGACCAGGCTGAGAAAACAATGAAATCCCAGTCAGGATAGGCGGTAACCCGACATACATTTGATGTGGCTGCAAGTAAGGGGAGGCCTATTAGAAAACGCACAGTCAAGCGAGCTACGTCACCACGGATCACTCATTTTCTGAAATGATTGCCCCTGAATTTTTAGAGAATTACTATCGTGTCTGAAAGTCTAGATCCTTAAGCACATGCATTTTTTCTTCCGTCCCATAATGGCACGTATAGACCCACGTTTCCTTGACCTCGGCACTAGTTGGAGGTGAGTGGTCAGCTTCATGCCCCGACCGCTTTAACCCCGGAGAAAGAGCTCCTGATGCCCTTTGGAAAAGATGCTGAATGGGCCCTAGATCCGGTGTGAACTACGAGGAGAAGTGAAAATTCTTGCCCCCACCGTGACTCGAACTCCGATCATTTAGTCGTCCAGCCCGTAGCCAGTCGCTATACCAATTGCGCTGTCCCGTTTACGTCCCATACGTCTTCATGGCATGGTGCTTAACTAGTTAAATACAGGGGGCAACTTTTACCCTAATGGCATAAATCGGAAGGGATGTGAAATTGTTATCACCAAAGTTTTTATGTGACACTGCCGAACTAAATGTAAGAAAGCAGTACCTTAATTTCTTTCACTTGTGAATGCCAATACCCTTTTCTCCCCTTTTAAGAAGTCTATATGGAAGTCAGGTATTCATTTCCTTCCAGTAAGTCTTAAAATCACATTCTATGCATGGATGTCTTCAGATGGCCATCCTAATAATTACAAGAACAATAACAATAATAAAGAGTGCTTTCTTCTGGAATGTGGCGCCATGCAGATGTGGTGTTAACCGTTCGGAGGAACGTATAGCCTCCATCTTCAGGATACAAGAAAAATCCGCGAGCGAGGAACCAACATGAGCGATACGTTTCTTCGAAACGTCGTTTTACAAAATATCTACACGGTGTCATAGCCCAAAAGATTGTAACCCTTCATGATCAGCGCTGTGAGAGCCCGAGACCTCCACTGTGCGTTAACTTTATGAACCTCATGGAAATGGCAGTCGCCACAGAAGCCGAACTTTGTCCTGCTATTGACTTCTTGGAAAGCATAAGCAACTGAAAGTAAGGTCAGTGCCGACTGTCAAGCAAATGGGAGATTGTTCCGTATGGCATGACAGGAGCAGGAGGGCGTCAATACCAAACCAGCCTACTGACCGCCCCAGTCTTCCTTCTGACGCCATACAGCGGCCGCTCTCTTCTGAGGAGTAACCTTGTGAGAGGGCATTTGATCTATATCATGTCGCTCTATGACACAGCAACTAAAGTAAGGGCCGATGATGAATAATTAACACATCTGTTTATTACTTTAATATTATTAGGAACGCCATGATACCGAGGCCCTTGATACTTGTACCCCTCCCCCATGATGATGATGATAATGACTGGAGTTTTGTTCCAATAATGGTTGTCAGGGATAAATGAAGTACTCGGAAAAAAACTTGCCCCAGCGCCACTGTGTTCCCCAAATATGGTCGGGCAAGAGCAGAACACGGCCATCGGGAGTGAGAAGTCGGCAGTTAGCAGCCCGCGCCAGAGCGCGGCCTTGTAAGTCATTAGTGCACTGTTTTATTTGTTCCGAAGGATGTAATTGGTTTGTCCCTGGAATGATAATGAATGTTTCTAGGCAGTCCGGTTTTAGGGGTTCCAAGTTGGGGTGGAAAATTATAAAAAACTGACTGAGGATCCAGAATCTGTCTCGTGGAAATTGGGAACCGTAAATTCCTGTTGATTTGTAAGATTTGAGGTTTTCACGGCGGTGACCATGAAGAATGCCGTCTCCTGTGATGACGGTATTCTTCCTGTTGATTTAATTATGATCATGAGACTAAATTTAAATTTGTAGTTAAACAACGGAGGGAAAAGTACTGGCCTATTACGCTGGAGGTACGGCGAGAAATTTGTGTCTGCCTGTCCGTGTGAAACCCCCCCTCTTTCGTTTCAGCCCTGAACCTTGTGCACGAATTGCTGCGAAGAAGTCTATCTTCTCTGATATAATGGACGTGTAGTCCACTAAAAATCAACTGACGCTTCGGAGGAACATTACGCCTGTATCTTCAGTGTCGAAGAATAAGCTAAGCAAGAAACCAGCATGAATTGTATCCCAGAAGGCAGAACTCTTCATAACCACCTATGTGAGAACCTCAATCCTATGAATTTCTATTAAATTTGGGATTGAGGTCTTTACCAAACATTACGAAGCTAATTCAATTTCGATTCCTATTCGTCAAATATAACCGCTATGAATTATGAACATTTGGGAAACCTCAATTGTAATGTATTTGCAGTTTGTGATGAATTCACATGGACAGCTGCGGCACGCCGTGGCAGTTTTGTCAGGATAGTCGGCAAACCGGGCCCAGATGCGATCCGAGCACTTCCTGGATACGATTCTAGACTTGCTTTCTGGTGGCATGTTGTTTGCACCAGAGGGGAAGAAAGGTAAGAAAGAGCAGTGGGAAGTGAAGAGCTCAGATATCGGTAGCGAAAGATCATTTAATTATATACAACAATGAAATTTACTGACGCAATATTTTTACTTCTAGACCACTGCCCTATTGTGCAGCCAATATATATCTTATCTCTTTATAATTTTAAATTATTGTTGACTTAATATTGGAGGCATATAGATTACTCTTCAGTGCTTCACGCTCTCTGGTATCAACGTAGAAAGTTCTTCGAATTTGACTTCTCTCGTACACCGCTATCAACACACTGACCTTGATATGTATGCAGTGTCCGTCTTTTAGTGCACTCAATTTCACACACAACACGAGATACGATATACAGTGAGAGTAAGAGGAACGACTCCCACAGTGGTGGAACTATGCGCGGTATTAGAATTGGGACAGATAAGATAAATAAGCTTAACAAGTTTTTAGTATATAAATATTTATTATAATTGACGAACATTTTTAAATACTTTTTAAATTTTACAGTGACATAATGGCAAGCAATGAAATAGATTAACGTAAATGGAGCACTATAGTGCCGAAATATGTTGTGAAATAACAAGTGAAATTGAGTGCACTAAAAGACGGACACTGCATACATATCATGGACGAAAAGCAGTGCATCAGGACGCTAAAATACAAACAACTCACTGACCCACTCACACAATAAGATATAATTATTTTGGAATTAACTAAACCAAATTTATAGGCTTTGAGGTTCTCACAGTAGTAGTTACGAAGCGTTATATCGTCTGGGATATAAATCTTTTAGCCAATTTTCTTGGTCAGCCAAATCTCAGGGACCTACATAAAATAAGAGGGCCTCGCCAGTAAACCATCTTGATAACTTCTGCCATAAATGGCTCAATGTGTATCTATGAGGACAAACGAAGAGATCGGCTATGCATTGCATTGGGTTGATATGTCACCTTGTGTAGTGCTTGTTACCTGCGGTGTAGAGGATGATATGCCACTGTCAGACGCCTTGGCGCCACCATAGCTGCTGCCACTGTACGAGGGACTTAGACCACTCTTGTTCCACGGCACCTGTAACAATCATCAGTTCTCTGAGAACATTGATCACGAGACGAAGAACAAAGCGCTCTAAAGACAATTTGTTTACATAACATATATATTCATAAGATGTGTTTTGTTGAAAGTGTAAAACATAAAAAATATATTTTGTGAAATAAATAAATTTCAGTTGTAAAATTCGAAAGATCTCTGGCTGTAAAATACGGGCTGGACCCCGATTATCAGTCAGTAGATTAAACAAGTGAATTCCATGATAAAATTTGCTTTGTTGTGGATAACAGAACGACTTACTGAAAGAATAAACGAGCAAAATTATGGAAGAAAATATATTAATCCCTTGATGTCTGAACCTCACATAAATAACATTTAAAACTTCGATTTCTGCCAAATAATAACGCACTACGTCACAGTTCCAAAGCTCAGTCGGTTAATGCTGTTTAGAGACGTAATTAGTTTTATCCCGAAAATTGCGGGAAACCCATAAAGACACTATCGGAAATACAGAGATGTTAATATTAAAGCAGTTGCTACCTATAGCAACTGGCGTTCTTTAAACGGTTAAAGGAGCTGCAAAGAATAACTACTGTGACAGACATCTGCAACGTATTGACGAGAGTGGAAATATGTACAATACTCACACGAAATAAATATGCTTCATTACAAATTAATTTTCTGCAATTAATATTTCACACACCACATTTACCATTTTACTAGGGCCGCAACACAGCTCAAGCGGTTAGTCGCTGGGTTCCCACCGTGGCGGCCCGGGTTCAAGTGGGATTTGTGGTGGACAAACTGGCACTAGGGCAGGTTTTCTCCTAGTACTTCGGTTTCCCCTGCCAATCTTCATTCCACCAAATTCTCCATCAGCACAATCAACCGAGGCAGGTACAGTAGGCCAATCAGTGGCCACAGTGCCGAGTGGACCCAGCTGGACTCCACCCCCCCTCCAATACGAATAAAAAAAATCATCTTTTTACTAACTGATGACGTTATTGTAACTGACTGACTTCATGAAGCTGAGCCCTTCTTGAGAAACCGCTAGTTGTGCAGCTACTCAAGAGTTTCCCAGCAATTTATTGAACCCGAAGGTTCATTATCGTCTTCACAAGAGCCCTTCACTGACCAATACTCTGAGCCAGATCAATCCAGCCATACCACCTCATCCTATTTCTGTAAGATCAATTTTAATATTATTCACCCACCTATGTCTTGTTCTTCCTAGCCGTCTCTTTCCTTCTGGCTTTTCCACCAATATACTACAAGCATTTATCTTCCCCATTCGTGCTACATCCACTGCGCATCTCTTCCTCCTCGACATGATCATTCTAATTATATCTGGAGAAGAGTACAGGTTATGAAGCTCCTCCTTATGCAGTTTATCCAACCTCCTGCCACGTCATCTCTTTGGTTCAAATATTCTCCTCAACACCCTGTTCTCAAACACCGTAAGTCTATATACAATATGATTTATATTCGAGCAAAACGAAACAAAACCATCAATATTAAATTTTAATGGAATTTGTTCAGTGGTTCCGGAAATGAGATATTCGGAAGGAAAAACGTAACACGTATACGTGTATACGTGTACAGAACTGCATTCGCTTCCACAGAATGTACCTTCTTGCCTACGTACCCGTGACGTCAGAAAACACGAATAGATTTGCTAGCTGTCCAGCTGGCAAGCGGATATACCACCAGTACAAGACACTGCTACTTCAAGGATCTTACTCTCATAGTTTCAAACGCGAATAATATTAACGGACTGAAACATTACATTCTTTTTATACTTTATGTCCCGTTCAGGCAGACACAGGCCTACTCCGTCTGCTTCACGATAAACAGTGAGCTGGACGGAAAGTCGGTACGTACGCTTAAATCCCTTCGGAGAGAAAGAGAACATTGTATATGTGTACAATATTTCCTCTAACATTTCCAACACACGACGCTAGCAGACACAACGCGCGGTCGCAAGTTGAAGATCATTACCCCACACTAACCTGTCTCTATCTTAAGGCCCGAAAGCCACGAAGACTCCAGTCAGGACAACCGGCGTCCCTCTCAAGATTCTAAAAGGGGTAGCTCCCGAATATCAGTCAGAAGGAGTTCTATATCCCGGAATATAATGCTGTGTAGTCCAGTGGTAGCCTACCAATGTTTCGGAGGAAAATCGTTTCCATCTTTAGGTTCGAACAGTAATCCAAGCAAGAAACCAACATGACGCAGGCAGAAAGTAGCTCAGCTTGTTACAAAGAACTATGCCACGAAGACATACGAGGGAGTGGAGGTATAGCTCCATCATTTTTTATCTCAGCACTAGACGGAGGTAAATTATCAGCTTCATGCCCCGGCCGCTTTACCTGCTGGAAATTGCACCCCATACCCATTAGATAGGCCGTGTGAGACCTAGAGCCGGTCTGGACATTATGGGGAAAAATCTTACCCTTGCCAGGAATCGAACTTCAGTCTTCCAGCCCGTAGCTCGTCGCCATACCGACTCAATATGTTGGTTATATGACCAAAAATTAATTTCGTCAGAGACCTACCGGAACCAAAATTAATCTAAATCCACTGAGTAGGTTCGGAATCACTTTCCTGGAGTAATTAAGGGCAGATGCTCATGTGGAGGATGGAAATGAAAGACAGTATATAAAATCTGATTCTTCTGCGCATGGCCTGCGCATCGTCTTTGTTTTTTAATATCTCCAGAAGCTCCTTGTGAAACAGAATTTCTTTACACAATGGAACATATTTGTCTGAGTATAAACAGAACTGTGAATATGGCGTGGCGAGATATTGGAGGGTCATTAAAATTCCTCCAAAAGTAGGATAATATGACAGCTTCACGGTTAATAAAGGTCTCTTACTTGCCCGTCACCTGGCATCATGGCGGACTGCAGATGAGTCATACGTCCAGTATCACAATAATGAATGCTTCACTCACCAAAAATACTCAGGCGACAGAGCAGCTACTTTAGGCAAACAGATTCTATGGGATGAAAAAAGATTACACGAAGAAGTCCGAGAAACTCGACACATTATTCTGCACAGTGACGAACAAACATTCTGTGGCTAAGCACTCGAAGATTTCTCTTTAAGTCTTTGGAGAACGGAGTCACAATACGCTGTGTAAACTGTGTTAGAAAGTAAAGATTTTTTTGACATTTATATTCTGGATGTTTGCTTTAAAATGTTATTTTATTTGAACATTTGTACGTCAACTTAAAATTTACATTGTTAGAAATGAAAGTGTATAACTTGAACTGTTGAAAGACTGTAGGGGAAACAGTATTCTCTATAGTCACCGCCCTGTTAACCTCAGCAAAACCTCACAAGTCTCTTGGACATGATTATGTGGCACACCAAAGCCAGCCAAAGTAGAAGAGTTCCGTTTCCAGACATTTCTTTCTCATTTGTACCACAGAAGTAGTAAAAGTGAGGCATCGACGTTAGAAAATTTGTATTTAAGTAATACTGTTCTTGCCGATCTGAGCCGCCGCGCACTCTAAGGCATTAAAAGTCTTCGTTCGCTCGAACGCTTGAATCGTGGGTTCGAATCCCACACAAGGTATGGATGTCTGCATTTATTCTGTGTTTGCGTTGTCCTGTGCAGGTAGCGGCCTTGCGACGGGCTGATCCCCCATCCTAGGAGTCATACCTGCTGTCTTATTAAGAAACTGAAGTGAAACAAGGCGTTTCACGAATACCTTAAGCTCCAAAACTGGAGGAAGAGGAAAAAGAGAAAGAGAGAGTACTGTCCATAAAAAATATTCACTATTAATATTTCAAACGGAAATTATTTTTGTGTGCTATTTTCATGAATTAAAAGCACTTGGGGGAGGGGGTTGTATCTATGTGTCTGGCAGTCTATATGTTTCGTTTCCGTTACTAATGAACGGATTGTGATCAAATTTAATATTGGTTTTTAAATTAAAAATAATTTAGGCGAACTTATTGTTGGTGCATATGGATCCAACATAAACTATAAATTATAACACTTTCAGATATACCTGCAGAAAAGAACATATTAAAATAAACTGGTGCATGCCATACAAACGCACCTCACGAAACCACTTTTCAGCGGGCCGAATATTCAACTAAATACAAGAAGCAACAGTTCCTTCATTGTTACCGTTGTGATGGATCTTGCAGCAACATGTCTGTGTCCTCAAGAGGATCAGATCAAGAACAAAGGGACATAGAAAATAACATAATCTGAAACAAAATATACATATGTATATGTAAGCCTCTACCATTTTGTCCAGGCTTGTAGAATCTGCATATGGCGTTACGTGTAAGTAGGAAGCAGAAATTTATGGCACACGGAAGTCAGTAATGCGAAGCTTCAGTTCCATCGCAACGAAACTTGATCACTTTTTTCATAGTCCGGATGCCAATACTGTCAAGTAATCCGAACTTAAGTAACTTACTGATAAAGAAGGTAAAACTATCCTGCAAGAGGCCGTGGAGGCACTTACCGAGACTCCCACATTTTGTAGACAATCGGCTCACAGATGGCTGTAAGGTTGTCAGCCTTACACGCCGGCTTTCTTTAGCCCCCAGGAGGATTCCTGGTACTCATTTCTGTTAGAGGCTGAGTTTACCCCAGGGCCATAGTGCAGCTGAAAGGATTAGGTCAATTAAGAAATCCAGTGACATCAATGAGTATCGAACCCGCGTCCTTCCGGCTTGTAGTATGGTGGCTCAACCAACTGTACTACCGCATGCCCCAATTTGCTGATACATGTTACTATTTATCGAACAGAAGTTCAGAAAGCGAGACACAGCAAGAAACAAAATATGTAGGCCTGCATATGACCTACGGCAGAACACTCACATAGCAGGCGAAGTAGTAACTGAGTAGTAACTAAGCAATCTCCGATGCCACATGACGACATGAATCGAATGTCTGTCTGTCACTTCGAACCGAATCCCGTCATCATCACGAATTCAGCTATTCCAGAAACACTCTGCTCTTATGAAACCCGGAGATTTATCTTCTGTGTTCAGAC